ACTGTGGACGGTCACCGAGCCTTTGATATCAATTTGGCAAACATGCAGCATGGAGGGTGCAGCACGGAGGACGCAGTCGATGCTTGCGACAATACCCATGGCATCGCCCCAGTCGGAGTACCGGACGCACAGCTTGCGCAGGCGCGGACACGCAACAAGTGCATCACGAAGCGCAGTGGCTTGGTTGGGATCGTCCAAGTCGGGCATTGGGTCCAACTCGACCGACGTGACGAGATGGGCGATGGCGCTGACGTAGCTCCTCCACTGCGCCATGTTGCCGACGCTGACCGACACGAGCGGAGTGAACGATGTTGCGATAGCGTACGCAGCAATCGACACCGGGTCAACTTGGTAGTGCTGCAAGATGCGCGCGTCAAACGACATGGTCAACCTGGAAAAGCTCGAGAAGCTGCAATGAGCCGTGCCGCCTTTCTTGCCCCACGTCCGGACGACCTCCATCGCGGGCGTCCGCTCTGGAAGGACATTTAGAAACGCGTTGAGTGCAGGTTGCGACGGGATGTACGCTGCAATGTGCTCGATCGTTTCCAGAGCCACACGCATCGAAAGACCGGATGGCGAATCGACAAATGAAGAGTCGGAGATTGGTTGCTTGGAGCCTGCTGTTTGTGGATGAGTGAAGGTACCCAGTCAAAACCTTCACTCACTGGACGTTACGCGCACGCCCGACGGTTTGTCAGACCAGGTGATTGAGCTCTCACGAGTTTGTCGCTCTTTGTCTTCCTCCATCAAGACCGAACATGGAGGTCTTCCAAGCGAGATGCGGGTGCGAGCGAGTGCCGCAAGTTGTCGGCGACGACGTCCCTGAACGGGATCGTGTCGTTGAGCCCGACGTTGGACCAGTGAAAGACACGCGTGGTCGCCGGCTGTTGAAGCCACGCGCGTCAAAGTAGCGCAAGCTGTCGAGCTCGATGGATTCAACCGTGGTCGACGCCGCCACCGCCAATGCGTCGTGCTGGGCGTCTGGCCTTTCACGCGAAGGAATGACCAGCAGTCAGCAATGCCATCGTCTAGCGATGCATGCGCGCGCCAGTGCAGTCCTCTTGGCATGACCGGCTGTGCGCCGGAAGCACCCCCAGCAGCGTCCAGGGGTCGTCGGTCCATGGGAAAAACGCCGCGATGATCTCGATGGTAGCGATCGCGAGCGGTGATGAGAGCATCGTAGGTTGCGAGCGTGTTGCGAAATGACGTCCCGACGACTATGGTCAAAGGGCAGGTCAAAGGGCATCATCCATCGATGGAGACAACATCTGCGCGTCTGCATCTGGTGGTGTGCATTTTTTGCCCAGATCTGGCATGGCACTACGCCAGTCGCACCTCGGAAATAAAAGTGAGGGAATCCTCATGCACTGCTCGGCACCCGCGGCAATGATGGCCTCTGGGCGTTCCGTCAGCGAACAGATCGATGGAGAGTCGGTTGTGCTTCTGCTCGATCCGTTGCGGTATTTGCATGGCCATTTCTACGGTAATTGGTGGCTCCAACTCTTTGACGTAGTGTGTTTTTGGAACCCGCGTACTCGACAACGATGGTCGACTGGTATCGCAGCCGTTGAGGTTCACACGTTTGATGAGCTTCCAGAGAACCATCTCTCACGACGTCCTTGAGACAGACCCCTTCATATCGCATAAAATCTCAGTGGGAGGACCTTGAAAGTCGGATGAAATAGTACGATGGATCCAAGTGGCTAATAGCATTAACACGATTACGCCGCGCGCGCGAGATTGGCGAGCGGCACCATGGTCATGGCCGCGAACGACGCCTAAGAAGATAGAATAATCAAATCACAGGATGCTCGTACACTAGATAAAAAAGCCTACGGTCTCCCAACTTCTGTCTATAAATTTCCGCGACTGCGCAATCTGGCCTTCGAGGCACTTGACGATCTCCTTGGCCTTGGGGCGCGACGCTGGGTCGTGGCGTAAGCACGCTTCCGTGAGCTGGCGGTACCACTCGTCGCACTTGGCCGAGAGCGTTGGCCGGAGCACGCCGTTGCGCACTTGGTCGATGAGTGTCATCTGCCCGAGATGCACGTTCCAGTACGGTCGCTGGTACGTCTCGAGCTCCGTGAGGATGACGCCGAACGAGTAGACGTCGGCGGAGAAGTCATAGTGGCCGCCGTCGAACACCTCGGGCGCAATCCAGTGCCACGTGCCGACCGCCGACGTCATCGTGTGGATGTCGTACTGCCGCGAGATGCCCAGGTCGGCGAGCTTGATGTAGTTTTTCGAGCACAAGAGCACGTTGTCCGACTTCAAATCCCGATGCAGCAAGTTTTTGTCGTGGAGATCGCAGATGGCATTCGCAATGACCCATGCGATCTGCAGCGTAGAGAACTCGAGCGCGACCGGAAGACCGTCGCGCTTGCGGTTGAGGTAGTGCCGAAGGTTGCCGCTGTTCATATACTCGAGCACCATCTTGGGCTCGTTCGTGTGCAGGCCGTAGGCCGCGAGGAGCTTGATAATGTACGGCGAATTGCACCTAGGGGTAGGGGAGGTTAGGGTACATCTTGTTGGAGCATTTTGTACCGAATAATGTTTTCAATCTCAATCTCCAACGCGGCAATACCTTCCTTGTCAAAGACCGTCTTGATCGCGACTTCGGTTGTTTTGTAGAGCCCCTTGTACACGATGCCTTGGCCGCCGCGACCAATCGGCTGCTCGGACAAGAGCTCGATTTCGTCGAGCTCAATCTAATCCATCAAATTTCCCATGAGCATCGTCGATCGACAGAAGCGAGTTGAGACATGCACGTACTTTGGGCGCCTCGAGGACGAGAATGCTGTGGAGTTTTTGGGCGATTTTACGGTAGCCGTGCTTGATGGCGACCTGCAATGGCGACTCGCATGCCTATATGAACGTATTTTTCAGATTTTCGCGCCATTTTACGGGCTTTTCGCGTACCTTGTTCTCGATCGTCACGTCCGCGTGCGCCTCGAGGAGGAGGTCAACCATGGGGTCGTCGCCCTTGGAGCTGGCCACAAAAATCGCTGTCCGTCCGTCCTAGTCCGAGGTTGGGAGCGGATTAAACAAGAAAAAAGTGAGGTACCTTGTCGGTTTGGTTGACATCGGCCCCGCCTGCCAACAGCATCTCGACAAGCACGCTATCGCCGTTCATGGTAGCGCGCGCAAGCGGCGTGTAGCCGTGCGCGTTGGCGCCGTTGACGTCGGCGCCCGCCACGAGCAGCATGCCGACAATGCCCTTGTGGCCCGCGGTCACGGCCAGTAGCAGCGGACTCTGTCCATCCTACGCTCGCATGAGCACCCCATCTATGTACAGTTGGATGCACACGTACGGTGCCCGGGAGGTTGACGTCGGCGTTGCATGATAACAGCATGCTGGTAATGGCTTCTTGGCCGTTGAAGGCGGCCATGCAGAGCGGTGTCATGCCTCCCTAAAGTGTGAAGAAATCGTAAGGGCGACGAGGATCGATGTTGGTACCGGTGGTCCTTGGTTCACATCGGCCTTGGCTTGCAGCAGCGTAATGATAGTCGGGAAGTGGTCGAGCTCGATGGCGGCAATGAGTGGGCTGCGGCCGCTCTACCCCGCAACATCTCGGTCACGAAGGCTCTGGTGTAAAATCGCACCTCGTCGCACTTGTTGACGTCGGCGCCCGCGTCACTCAGCGTGCGCGTCATCTTGGCGTTGCGGCTCAGCACGGCCGTGAACAGCAAGCTCTCGCCATTCTAACATGGACAAAGTTTGTCCAACTCGATAGGTCGCAAACCTCGTCGTACCGAATTGATCGTGTTTGGGCTCACGCGTTCGTGGACGATGGTATGAAACACTTGATCGAGGTCGCCTTGCCGGACTGCGTCGACGAGCTACGCGCCACATGCTATCTATCAGTTCCTAGATGTTGTGAAAAAGGCTACCTTGAAGGCCATAATGTCCTCGAGGATCGCGCTCACATTGTCGTGGTTCTTCTCCTTGGCGAGCATCAGCGGTGTCCTCCCGGCCTAGCATAGAAGAGTACATCACGCCGCCTCGTACACTCGCACGGACCCTGGACTTGATGTTGATGTCGGCGTCGGCTTCGAGGAGGAGGGTCACCAAGGGCGCGTGTCCCTTCTCGGCTGCGATGTGCAGCGGTGTCTGACCTTCCTACGCCGCGAGCCATTTATAAAAACAAAGGACTCGAGAACAACAACATACATGATCGGTTTGGTTGACGTTGGCGTTGGCGCCAAGCAGCAGCGACACCACCGCAGCGTGGCCCTTGACGGCTGCCAAGTGCAAGGGCGTCCATCCTGCCTGTATAAACACTCACTAAGTCGCCGAGACAAGGCCGTGGGATGGAGGACCTTGCTCGTGGTGTTGACATCGGCGCTGGCCTGCAGTAGGAGCGATACCACGGCCGCGTACCCATTACAGGCTGCGACGTGCAGCGGCGTCCACGCATCCTACTCGATGATCAGCACTCCATTGTACGATCGATGCATCGACGCACCCCCTTCGCTGGTCGACGCGCGCGTGGGCCGCGATCAGCAACGCGACAACGGCGACGTGGCCCTTCTCCGAGGCCACGTACAAGGGCGTCCATCCTGCCTGCACACCACATAAGACAATAGTGTCCATCATCGCAGGCTGCACACCTTGTCGTTCTTGTTGACGTCGGCGCGCGCATGGAGAAGGAGCTGGACGACACTGTCGTGGCCGTTCCAGGCGGCAATGTGCAGCGGCGTCTGGCCCACCTGTCGGTAGATCGGTTGGCTGACAAGAAAAGGGAGATGATGCGTACAGTGTCGATCTCGTTGACGTCGGCGCTCGCGTCGAGGAGGAGTGAGACAACGCGCAAATGGCCCTTGACCGCTGCCAAATGCAAAGGTGTTCGATCCACCTGCCATCACGGCGGCTCGAGCCTTGCTTGAACTGTATTGGCTTTGTACCTTGCTGATACGGTTGATGTCGGCGCGGGCTTGGAGCAGCAGGCCGACGACAGCGGCATGGCCGTTGAAGGACGCGATGTGCAGCGGCGTCCATCCGTCCTAGGCAGGCGCGGTGACGCCAGCACGACTGTAGGATGCATACCCGTCGGCCCTTGTTGACGTCTGCGCGGGCCTGCAATAGGATCGCAACGACCTTGTCGTGGCCATACCAGGCTGCAATCAGCAGCGGCGTCTGGCCCACCTACCCAAGCACAATCATCCGTCGCTGGAGCGCGCAACTCGATGGCATCGTACGCGATCGCTTCGGTTGATGTCGGCGCGCGCCTGCAAGAGCACGGAGGCGACGGCGTAATGGCCCTTGGCCGCCGCCAGGTACAGCGGCGAATGACCTTCCTATAGCACACACGCGCAGACGTCGATCATTGCGCGGTTGTCGTCATCATCGTACCTCGTCAAAGCTGTTGGGGTCGAGGCCGGCGTCGAGCAGCTTGGTCACGTCATAGAGGTTACCGTCCTTCGCGGCCTGCGCCAGGCGCACATCCTGCGTATCACGCGCGTTAGCTACGCCGCTACTGCCTCCATACCTTCCGAGACCAGAACCATGACATCGTGCTAATGACTGTCGAGCGCACACGCCGTGTCATCCGGATAATCCACCGCCGCGTGTCTCTTCCCCGGCTTAGTGACATGTGGCGAATCTATCACCTAGCGTTAAGGACATTTGGCGATTCAGCAGCAAGTGATATACTCGTGGGATGGTTCAATCCGACTGAAGCGCCGGAGACGACGACTCGCGGGCGACAGAGAGGAGACTTACGCGGCGACGGTGTCGACCACGTGACTTGAACTACAACGCTATCCTGCAGTATAAAACCGCCAGCGCCTGTCCGCAAACGAGTAGCCATGCGCGTGAAGCGAACGCATCCATCCTGTGGCACCAAGTACGGGCGCTCGTATTTGATGCTGCGTGCTTTAGAGGACTGGAATAGCCGACAGAGGGAAGCGTGGACCGGGATTCGAATGCATACTGAGGACCGTAGGCCACATCGCTCGACGCAGCAAAGTCAGTCACCGCAGTGGTAGCGTGGTCCGGCTCGCGCCAGGAAATTCATCAAGTCGAGAACAAGTCGTCGGCGCCGAGGGAATCTCTGCTGCACGCGCGCTCGAGAGACCGGCAACGGGAAAAAAGGTAATCGCCACACACGAGCAGTTGATACTTTGGCTTGGTCTCGAAGCGTGGTTGGGATACGCAGCAGCCACGTGATAAACGCCTTCTATCACCTTTTGGCCGAGGTCACTAAAGCGGGGTGGCCGAATTTTTTACATCCCCATACATTCCGCCCCTGTGGCGCAATAAAATATCAAATGTGGGCGGTCGGGGACGGACTCGCCTCGGCGTCACCGCGCCAGCGTCATTACTGCGCGCTGGCGTCACGGGCCTTGCCTTCAAGTGCGTGTGCGAGGGAGCTGTCCATTGAATCGGCCGAGTCGTCGTGGCTTGGTACGAAGACGTGTGCCTGCGACGCCTGCGTGCTGGAAACGAGGCTGACTAGCATCGGCGTGTCCACGCACCAGCAAAGCGCCCCGACCTCTTGCACGTAGATTAGTAAAAAGGACTAGGCAAGGAAGCGAAACGCTCGAATCCGGTGGTTACACGTGCGCACGACGTCACGTGATACAGAGCATTTGCAGCCGCACGATTCGACCAGCTTGTGATACAGCATGTGCAACCCTGAGCTACATCCCGAGGTATCTCGGGTCGACATGCAAACGCAGTTAGCTATGCAAGAGGCTTGGAAGGGCGCAATTGCACAGACGTCCCTTGCAAGGAGGAGCCTCGGACGAGGTAAATGCGCGCCAAATTCAACGACGAACGCGCGTTCGTTGCACATCCCCGAGGGAACGGCGTGACGTGGATTTGAAAAGAGATGGAAATGACTATTGACATGTCACATCTGATATCGAGATGCCCGTCGGTCCGTGCAGGCGGTCGTCCCGTGACGCTGTAAAAGGACTCGGCCTGCCCGCGAACCTGGGGAGGGAGACGAGCTGGACGTGCCACACAGCTAGAGCTTTTTCCTGCACGAACGACTGCACTCGAAGCATTGAACTGGTGTCAGAGGATGTATTGCCAAGCGCGAGCACCCCAGTCCTCGATACTATACGGCTGTCCATGGCGCGGAATCATGGTTGACTCGGGCGCATGATTGCACTTTAACTGCTATTATCTTCGAGGTCCTAGAGTCGGGTCGAGATACTGGCTTCGTTCATGACAACTCGTGTATTTGGATGGAATGTGCAGCACTCGAAAGAGCGTACTGGTCGTCTACCTTGCAATCCAGCACCTTGTGTCGGCCGAAGCTTGACGCGCATGATTGCAATGAATATGCATCGTCCCGACAACGCTCGCACGCATGGCCTCGTCGTTCGTATGCCTCTGGTCGCATGAGGTGCCTCGCCATCACGCGTGGTGGTGGTCGTAAGGGATGGTATCAAGACTTGGTAGTTATCGACAGGCCTTTGGTGGTCGTGGGCTCATGCATGCGCCATGTGCAATGGAGGACTGCCTGCCAGGTATCCGGATACTGAATACTCGGTTTCAGCGAATGAGCTTGCCGTAATCGTGTTGACCTACTGAATTTCAGCCAATCCAGAGGCTGCACGGCTGTGACATGCCACCGACACGCTAAGAAGGATGCAAGAGCGTAGCGGCGACGCTCTTCTGGCCGCAGCCCGCCGAGGCAGCGCGGCCTCTCTCCAGGCCATCCTCGCCTAAGGCATCGAGCCTGGTGCGGCGCTCCATGTGGTACTGATGCGCTCGCCCTATCTGCTCTGCATGACGACGCATCGAGCCACCTGGGCGAGGACGGTGCGTCCACGCTGCACGTGACCTCGCTGTCGCGCAGTGTCTGCTAGCAGCGGGCACCGACGTCAATCGACCTGACGTGGTACAGCACTTGGCCTTGGCTTGTCGGGGCGCTGCGTAGCGCCAGCATTCGCCACTCTACCGTGCTGCGTTCCAGGGCGACGAGGCCTCCTTCACCTAGCCAATGCCAACGTCGACCAGCTTACAAGCGTACGATCATGACAGTGCTGCTAAAAGCGATGATCAATGGCCGTAGCTGGACGAGACACCGCTCATAGCGGCGGTCCAAGAGGGACACGTGGCGATCGTCGCGGTGCTGCTGGCGCCAGTCGACGCGACCAATTGTGTGCTCAAATGTACATCTCGTCGATCGAAATCACTCATGATGGCAGCGTAGTACGGTGAAACTGTGTTGCTCTGGGTGGCCGCGTGGGGGCACACTAACGTCGCCGGCTTCTTGCTGGACGCCGACGCCAGCGCGCCCTTGCGCATGCCGGTCGGCTGTAGCAGCCACCAATCCAGTACTCACCTCTTCGATTCTAGCTGGGCCGGTCGCCGTTTCTTGCCGCCGTCCAAGGCAAGGCGTTAGACATTGTGGAGCGCATGCTGCAGAACGGACCGCTCGACAGAGAGGCATGTCTTGAAGTCTGGAGCCGTAATATCTTTCAAAGGAGCGAGCGAGCGAGCTAGGATGCCCGCGAAGCTGCGTTGCGAGACGGTTCGGATCCGAGGCTCGTGACACGCCTCCTGCACGCAAGCGTTCGCCCGGTGCGCCGAGGCGGCTGTGCTCTGTGCGAATTCAAACGGTACGTAGACGCACTGGGAAACGATGAAAGTGGTTCTGGTGACGCGCATACCAACTGACGCGGTGCGAGTTTCAACCAAGCGGTTCACGCTCATGTCATGGCGCCCAGACCTTTACCAATGCTTTGCCGACCATTTTGCGCGCGTGACGTCGATTGTGCGGACGCATTGTTTTGTCGGAGGTTGTCACCCCGCCACCCGACGGCTCGTCCTACTGAAGTGGTTGTCTCCGACCACGCATTGATCGGTGACGCATGCAGCAGGAAAGGTCCCGGCCTTTCTGGGGCCGCCGCGGTGAATTTATTCAAAGCGATCAAGCCGCATGGCAAGGCGCAAGAAAAAAACAAGTGTTTTCTACGTGGTCACTTTGCCTGGTCCACGCACACGATGAGGTAGGGACCAGTGTCCGGGCGCGATGGGTGAATTTAGCGCTGGGCGGCCAAAGCAGAAATGCTTGGCGCCGTCCCTCCCCCCCAATTTCTATTTTCTAAAATATTAGTCTCCGAGTCGTCCAGAGCGGGTGATCGGTTCCGATAGACCGTCTTCGGGCGTGGTGCGTTGATCAAACGCGTGCCCTTGCTTTCGGTGCCAAGCGAATGGCTTGTTCCATGCTGACGTGAGAAGACGCCTGCGGTGCAATCCAAACAACAAGGCGATAAAGCGCTATAATCTCGCAGAAAGCAGATGTATTGATTGAATTACGCGACGATGGCAGGATGAGCCCGAAACCCAATAAACCACAACTTTGAGTCTTTGAGAACTGAGATCCTTCCAGACGATCGCCCTGGGAATGGAGCCGTAATCTGTGTCGAACGCGACTTTTGTCAAAGCTGATGAGGTCCCTACGTCTGTCCTACCTGGTGCGCACACAGACAGCAAGGACGCGGCAACTACCCACTCTTCGCTTCTCGAGGGTCTTCTCAACTGGCCAACGATGCATTGTAGACCCTTGCATTGGCTGGGGACCGCCACTGCTGCGGGGAAGCACGTTCTAAGGCAGTACGAGAGGGACGAGAGTGATCTTCATACATCTGCGTCGTTCCGTCTTCGGGCACCTTGAGGTGCCATCCGTCGTTGTTGTTGAAGTGAGTCTATTTAGATATAATTTACACTGAACTGGAATTGGTGGTGGACTATCGATTCCAAGGTGCTACGACGAGCCGGCCGCCGAGAGGCTTAGCCGAGCGGGAGACGTGGCGGTGCCATCCGTCGTCATAGTGTACTGACCATCGATGCACTACCAGCCATTTGATTGGCTGGACGCTGAAACGATGGGGCTGGTGGGCGTGCGGTTCAGCGGTTGCTATCACGGAAACGCCTGATAGCCTATCAGCTGATATGGTTGTGGCTCCAATTCTGTATTAGATTGACAATAAATCAAATGCAAGAAGACTTTATCGGTCAGTGACCATGCGCAGACCACCAATTGACAACATCGTCCAAAACAAAGGTCCAACCCGCTTCATTCGAGCATGGTGCTTACGTCGCGTCTACCAGCTATCAGGTCGATGAGAATGGCATGAATTGATACAGACAAAAAATAGATGATGAAATGCACCACAGAGATGATCGCTATCAGATGTGTAATGCGATCATTCGTGTGCTCAACACGCCACGCAACCTCGCTTCGAGTGCTCATTTTCGAATTGTCTTCCATGCTCTCGCATTTGCTTCTCGCTACGCTCGCGGCCGGTGCCGCTGCCACGACCATCCTCCGCACTGGCTGCGGTGACGTCGGTCCCGCCTGGACGGTGGTTAGCGACGACAACATCTACACCTCGCTCTCGTTCGACGGCTCCACGCTCTGCGCGATCGACACCTCCGCCAACTTTGTCTGCACGACGCCGGCGACGACGCCGCTGACCTGGTTTATGGCGTACAGGAACGTCCAGAGCGGCTTTGTTGGCGAGAAACTGGCTGGCGTTGTCTCGAACGGAGAGCACTACGCGACCGACGCGTTTGGCCCGGACGCAACCTACGCCATCTCCCCTTTGCCCGAACCAGCCACGGCGACGTGGGGCGACAAGGGTGTTATTGGCTATACGACGGCAACGTCCAGCATGTTCTATTCAATGGACGGCAGCAATGGCTTCCTCGATGGCAAGATGGTCGACCTCGCGGTGAGTGGCAAGACGCTCTACGGCATCGATGCATCCGGTGTGCTTTCCAAGGGGTCGCTCCCAACGGGTGAAGTCTTGACCGCGTCGTGGGTACCGGTCGCAGGTGCACCGACGCTCAGCGAAGTCTCGGTCGGCGGTGGTCGCGTCTGTGGTGTCACCAAGACCGACAAGACAGTTGTCTGCTCGACCGATGACGTCAACTGGACGACGCTGCCGGACGCCAAGTGGGCGCACGTCGCTGTGTTTGGCAGCACCGTGTTTGCCACCGACAGCAGCAACAAGCTCAGCTCGTACATGTTCAAGTAGGTAGTTGTAGCGAGTAAATCTCGTTCAATCTAGACTTGCTTTGTTGTTTAGCTTGTCTTTCAGTCTTTTGCGCCTCATGCCTACGAGGAAGTGCCTTTTGGTACTTTGTCCGACCTCGGGCACACGCTCACCGCAACGTGGTAGACAACATATAGGTCCTCTAATAGGATTTATGGACGCAACTGGGCCTCGTTGTGCATTCACAACACCACTTGGAGAGCCGACTACTCTACGTGGAACGCTAGTCAATTCTTATCTACCACCGTGTGTCGAGAAGCAAAGACAGTTGTCATCGTGCACTGGCCATACAAGACGTTCAGCGTTTGACATGTGAACCGGCTGGACGTTGGAATGATAGGAGTGCGTTACGGGGGTCACTATCGCGAAACGCCTCATAGCCTATCAGTTCATGCCTGTAAGCCACTGCGAGACTGCATTGGATCGACGATCGAGGCGCAGAATGCAAGAAGACGATTCATGGGCGACCATGCTTTGATGGTCTATGTGATATGAATTTGAAAACACTATTTGACACGAGCATGCAATATTGTACTACCCGGCACCGAGTTAGATATGCTGCGTCAGCTAGCTATCAGGTCGATGAGACATGCGTGCCGACATCCCATCGCACCACAGAGATGATCGCTATCAGATCAGATGCCTAATGCGATCATTCTTGTGCGCAGCACGCCACGCCAGCCGTGTTTCCAGTGCTCATTTTCGAATTGTCTTCCATGCTCTCGCATTTGCTTCTCGCTTCGCTCGCGGCCGGTGCCGCTGCCACGACCATCCTCCGCACTGGCTGCGGTGACGTCGATCCTGTTTGGACACCGGTCGACGACAAGAACGTCTACACCTCAGTCTCGTACGACGGCTCCACGCTCTGCGCGATCGACACCTCCGCCAACTTTGTCTGTACAACGCCGGCGACGACGCCGCTGAGCTGGTTTACAGCCTACAAGAACGTCCAAAGCGGCTTTGTTGGCGGAAAACTGGCTGGCGTTGTCTCGGACGGCAAGCACTACGCCACCTACGCGTTTGGTCCGGACGCAACCTACGCACAGACCGATTTGCTCGGCCCAGCCGTGACGACTTGGGGTGACAAGGCCATTATTGGCTCTACGGCGACAACGGACACTGGGTTTGATACTATGTATGATACAGCGGACACGAATGGCTACCTCGATGGCGACATGGCCGTCCTTGCGGTGAGCGGCAGAACGCTCTACGGCATTGACGCATCCAGTGTCCTTTTCAAGGGCTCGCTTCCAGTGGACGATTCCATGACCGCGTCGTGGGTGCCGGTCGCAGGTGCACCGACGCTCAGCGAAGTCTCCGTCGGCGGTGGTCGCGTCTGTGGTGTCACCAAGACCGACAAGACAGTTGTCTGCTCGACCGATGACGTCAACTGGACGACGCTGCCGGATGCCAAGTGGGCGCACGTGACGGTCTTTGGCAGCACCGTGTTTGCCACCGACAGCAGCAACCAGCTCAGCTCGTACACGTTCAAGTAGATATGGGTATATCCAATCAATGACAAGACTTTACTCTTTGGCTTCCTTCTTTGGCGCTGCTTTTTCTCCGACTGCGCCTTCTTCTCTCGATAGCGCCGCAGCTCCTCCCTAGTTGGCATGAGACACCTGGCGGCACATTAAAGGTAGTAGCACCGCTTCTGCCGGCGCATGGCATCGATGGCGGGCGCTGGAAACTTCTCTTCTGCGTCGTCCTTCTCATCTTCGAGAACGTCCGTACCCAGATCTGGGACTACCCACACGTGTGTCTCTACTGCTGCAAAGCTAGTTGAATTTACGGTTGGGCGTCGGCGGGTAGAGCTCGGCCGTGAGTTTGAGCCACATTTTGAGCCGCTTCTCGAGACTGCCGTCGTCAAAGTCCTGGGGCCGACTGCCTTTTGGCAACCCAATGTCTTCAAACGAGTCGGCGCCTGCGTTGTCGCTAATATCATCCCCTGCTCCACCTTCCATCGAGAGTCTTACCAGCAGGAACAAAAACCGCTTTGGCGGGGTCGACCTCCTTGGTCGTCTTGCCTTCCGTGTGAAACACATGGGCGTTCACACACGTCCGAAACTAGTCCCATAGCTCCATCAATACGCCAAAGAGTCAGACTACTGCAAGGAATGGCGATGGACCTGAGCGCCGAGGGTCTTATCCTTGAGGCTCGTAAATTGCAGCGTCGCACCAAACGTGTGGGCGAGGTACCGCAGCGCCTGCACGATCCCCTTGCGCTTGACTCTACTCACCACCCTCTCAATACCAGGGTACGACTGCCTCCATCATCGCACCCGTCTTCGTCGCGGAAGGTATCGAACTTGGAGCAGACGATGAGCGTTGGGATCGGCAGCGGCGCCACGTCCTTCTTGTCGGGGTGGGCCGGGCCGTACCGAGCGATGGCTTCGCCCTTGAGCTTCTCGACTGCACTGGCGTTGGCTGGCGCTTTAGATGCAGCGGCTAGCACGTCGGTAGTGACCGCCTTGAGGAGCGTGAGCCACTTGACGAGCCACGGCACGGCGTCGCCGGGTGTCGAGAGGTCGACGACGACCATGAGAACGGCGTTGGCGACGCGGTCTGGCGACAGCGGTACGCACACTAGTTCCTTGACGCGCTTGGTCGCCGCTACACCAAGGGTGACTGCGGGCCAGAGACAGACAGGCAAACGCACCGAGCTCCCAGATATGCGCGACGGTCTTGCGGTTGGAGCCAGGCACAGCGCGCCGCGCGTAGTAGTAGTCGAGCGCTGCCGTGGGCTTGGGCTCGTCGACTAGCCAAAGCGTTGACCTCGGCGCAAGAGGTCGAGGCGTACCTTTGGTCGGGTTGCGGAAGTACATGATGAGCGACGACTTGCCGCTGTTCTTTGGGCCGACGACGAGCGTGTGTACGAGTCGTCGCCTTCCTTGCTGCTGCTATCGGACGGCTCGTCGCTGTGATCCATGGCCGAGAGCACGGCGAAGATGTCCTTGCCGCTGGGCGCTGCTGCCTTGGCCTCCATCGCGCCTCTTCAAGATCGCGATCTTTGAATTTGACGGTTTTTGACATAGATAGATAGATAGATAGATAGATAGATAGATAGATAGATAGATAGATAGATAGATAGATAGATAGATAGATAGATAGATAGATAGATACCGGTACATCCATTGTTCTTGAAATGCAGTCTTGTTATGCAAGGTTAGGAAATGGATAGCTGAGCGAGTTCCTGCGCAGTGAAGTGAACGCCGAGGTCTGCCAAGTCGCGCTCGATCATCTGCCACACGCCGCGTCGTTCGTCGCCGGCGACCGTGGCACGCGTCAGGTACGCGGCTGTTTGCTTCTTGCGCGCGCTGGCGTGTGTTGCCTGCAGCTGCTCGGCCGATACAAAGTAGTTGCCTTGGTTTGGATTCGATGGACAGCTACGCACATGGTTGTGGCAGGTACCGCTGTCCATGTCGTGGTAGACGAGGCAGTTGGCGCAGAAATTAGTGCTGCAGTTGGTGTTGCCGCACGTGACGCACGTGCAGCCGGAGAAGTCGAGGAATGCCGCCTTGCATTTCGGGCAAGCGAGCGTCAGGATCTCGTTGCAGATGCGACGGGCGTGGCCGGTTACCGTCTGGTTCGCGCTGAGCTGATAGAGCTGGCAGGTGACGGGCGGGTGCTCGTCGGCGGGCGTCGCCAACTTGTCTGAGCACGTGATGCAGTAGGTCTTCTCGCAGTTGTCGCACACGGCGAGATATTCTCCTTGCTTTCCTACACACGGCGCGCCATTACGAGGTGTCCTTCTTTTGTGGGTAGAGTACCTTTTTTGTACTCTGCAATGCGGAACACTTGGTTGCAACCCGGCTGCGGGCACAGCGAGAAGGCGTCTTCGTGCTGCACGCGGTAGAGCTCAACGGCCTTCTCGGCCAAGCCCTCGAGTTGCGACGGCGGCACAAGCTTGACGCAGTCTTCGACACTCAAGGCAGCCTCGCACCCGTCCCGAGGGCATCTCAGCGGCAGCTTCGTATCCTGACTCCCAAACATGGGCAGGATGCAGTCGGTGCAAAAGGTGTGGCCGCACAACGTCAACTGCGTCGTGGTTGCATCCACGTCGCAGAGGCACAGCGGACACTCGAGCGCACTCGTCGAGACCGTGCGGGGCCCGCTGCGTTTTGGGAACAAGACGCCTTGGAGGGACGTTGTAATGGCCAGGATGGCGTCGCGTGACCCCGAGAGGTACAACTTGGCGCCGAGGACGTAGTGATCAAACGCACGCGCACACACGGATGCAAATTTGAGCGACTTGATCTTGCGCTTGTCCAGCATGAGCACATGGTCGATGACCTCCAGCGCGGCAAACTGCTCGAGGAATCCGATCATCGCGCGCTTGGCCTTCTGGAACTCGTCCTCGAAGCCGTAGACGAAGATTTGGCCCGTGCGTGCGTTCCAGTGCACGTAGACGTCGTTGGAGAGCTCGCCGAGAAACCGGCGGCCCGCGCCCGAGAAGAGACGCTTGATGTCCGCGTGCTTAAACTGCGTGCACTTTGTGATCTCGCCGAGCTCGGCTTGAATTCGCCCGAGGGTCAGGCGCGACGTGCACGTGAACCGGATCGCTTGGAAGATCGTTTTCGTCGGCACCTCAAAGACAGTGACACCCCGCCGCCGAGCGTCCGTAAGCACCGGTGCGAGCAGATTGGTGCGCTTCTTGAACACTTCGACGTGCATCCGCGCCACGTACGTGTGCTCGAGGGCAAGCCGGATAGGCTGCCCGCACGGCATTTCCGCCGGTGCCCACGCCTGGAGCGCCGACGTGTAGAGAGCCTCGAGCGCCGCCGTGTCATCGCTGACGATGTACACACCCGCGCGACCAGCGTCGAGAAAATCCGTGGCCACAAAAGCAAATGGCATGCGCGCCAAAACGGAGCCGAGCCGCCGCGCCCGCACGGCGAGGACGCTCTCTGCCGAGCTGACTTGGTCCGCAGAGCTGTTGACAACGCGATCGATGCGGAAGCGCTCGTGCGGCATGGACGTGAGGCGCTCCGTGAGCACGACCTCGTCCATGGCGGGTGGGAGACCGTGTACGGCGACAAGAAACGATGTAAAATCGGTGCTGAGGTTGAAGAGGTACACCTTGTTGGCCATGCGCGTCACGGGTGGCAGTGGCTTGAGCCCATTTGGTGGTGTCTTGGCAGGCGTCTCCGATGCGCCTATCGCCACGGCGCGCGATGCCTCGGGCAGAATGGTTCTGTACTCGAGTAGAAACCGGTTGGCGTCAGACGCCGACTTGAACCACACCTTGACGACGCCTTTCGAGGCAGCGGTGGCCCAGGACACTTTGATGCGACTCGATGTCGACTGCTGCAGGCCGGGCTTGGCCATCGCCTTGCCGGCGCTCACTTGCACGTTGCGCCCGGCGATGACTTCGCCTTGCAGCCGCGTGAGCACTTGCTTGGCGACGGTCTTGTCGTAAAACGTAGCGCGACGGATTGGTCGCCGCCGTTGACGACTTGCTGCTCGAGCGCGCGCAGAATCGGCTGGGCGCAGTTGGCGGCGGCTTTGGCAACAAAGGCTCGGACATCGCGCCGAGGCATCGTGGCGGGGAGCTGGCGCACATACACCGTGACGTACTCGTCATCAAAGAGCAGCTCGTTGACGACGAATCCAGCGCCGAGAACGGCGCGCGTGCCGCCGAGGTACGTCTGCTCTGTCGTGAGCGCCAGCATTTCTTCCTGGAACGGTGCGACGAGCGCATCAACCTGCGGCTGCAGACCGCGCGCAATGGCCGGCGTGCAAAACGCCAGTAGCTGACCCTTGTCCGGCACGACGTGCAGCGTACACCCGAGCTGGACTTCGAGGGCTTCGAGGTTGCACAGCTGCTTCCCCACGAGTTTCTTGAGCACGGGCCCGGGCACGGTCAGCACGACGGTCGAGATGGGAAGCGCCGGCAGCTTGGCGCTGACGATGCGCGCGAAATCCGGGCTCTCTGAGGCGAGCCACTCTTCGTCGACAGGCGTACATGTCACGAGGAGAGCGCGGCCGGCGGGGCGGAAGATCTTGTCGTAGACGATCCAGTCTGGTGGGACCCCGCTCTGGATCGCGGCCTCGATCGGGATCGTGCCCACGACGTCGGCTTCGACGGCGCAATACTGGAGCATGTGGCTGCGGTCTCGCTTGAGACAAGCCACGTGTAAAAAGTACCCTAATACACGTCACCTCAGCAGGCATCAGCGACAACGAGGGTACCGTAAAAGACGATGCGCCGCAGGTCGCTGTCCGACACGGTGGCCGTTTGCGGCTGCGCTCTCCAAACGTCCAAGTCGGCGACTTGGCCCCGCAGCTCGTCTTGGAACGCGACAGCAAGGCCGAGTGCCTTGTTGTTGAGCCGGTTCTGTTGACACCACTTTTGCGCGGCGATCTTTTTGGTCCGGAAATTGCTCTTGGTGGCGCTCTTGGGCGGCGTTGGCACCGACTCGCTGCTGTCTCCTGACGAGGCCTCGGACGAGCACTCGGAGCGCGTCTCATCGGTGTTCCCATCGTTATCGTCGTCATCATGTTCATGGATGGCGGCGCGCGGCTGTCCGTTGAGCCGGCGCAGATGCCCGGCCGTGAGCGCAACCACAGGTGTCTCGTCCGAGGGCTCGACGACGTCTCGCACGGGCGTGTCGTTGACTTGCGTGACGCCCTTGAGGACATTGCGGTATTGCGCCAGCGCCCGCACCATTGGCACGATATCGCCGTCGGTGGAGACGAGCATCGGGTGTGTCGACGGCTTCTTCGTCTTGTCGCGCCACGCAAACATGTGCGCGACCGATTGAACCGCCGCGACCTGCAGCGCTGCCTCGCCATGGCCCTGTGCACAGCTCTTGACAAGCATCCGCACGAGCTCGGGCGGCTGCTGCAGCGTCGTGATCGTTGTACCGAGGGCCGTGACGCGGCCGCTCTCAAGCGCGCCAAGAAACGTCAGCTCGCGCTCCGCGGCCGCCATGGCGTCGGCGGGCGGGGCCGAGAGCCACTCGAAGCATTTTGGATCGATGCCGAGCCGGCGCAGCGTGAGCACGGCAAGCGCCAGCGGCTGTCGAAAAATCTCGGGCAGCGTACTCGTCTCCATGAGCTCGAAATCGTGCTCGCTGTAGAGCCGGACACACGTGCCAGCTTGCGTCCGACCGGCGCGGCCTGCCCGCTGGATCGCCGAGCTCCGCGCGATGCTCTGCACTTTGAGCGACGCGATTTTCCGCACGTGGTCGTAGCTCACGCCCTTCTTGAGCCCGCTGTCGACGACGTAGACCACCCCGGGGATCGTAATCGACGTCTCGGCCACGTCCGTTGCGAAGAGCACCTTGCGCTGCTCGGGGGTATGCGCGAAGGCGAGCTTTTGATCCGCCGGGTCCTGCTTGCCGTACAGAGTGCGCGCAACAAGGCCCGGTTCCGGGTGCTTCTCGAACACGTCGTGGGCCCGCAACACGTCGTCTTGGCCAGGTAGAAAGCACAGAATGTCGCCTTGTGGGCTGTCGCGGTGGAGCAGTCGCGCCATCTGGGCCATGTAGGTGGCCATGTCTTTGGTGCCGTCGGGCGTCGGCGTGTACAGGACGTCGACTGGGAACATGCGCCCCGGAATGTCCACGATCGGTGCACCGCCAAAGTACGTCGAGAAGAGGTCGACGTCAATGGTAGCGGACGTGACGACCAGAGGGATCGAGCGCCAGCGCGCGTCGTCCGACTTGAGCGACCCGAGCAGCAAGTCGCACATGATACTGCGCTCGTGTGCTTCGTCCACCACAATCGCGCCAATGCCTTTGAAGAGCTCGTCGTCTTGGCGCATGATCATGTCGAGAAGGACACCTTCCGTGATGAACTCGATGCGCCCACGCGTGCGACACTGGCGCCGGCCGCCGACACGGTAGCCGACATCGCCGCCCACAGTCGCGGCCTTTTCGTAGCCGCCAGCAAACTCGAGGGCCACGCGCTCCGCGAGGGCCATGGCCGCGAGCTTCCGTGGCTGTGTCACGAGGATCTTGGTACCTGGGAAAAGCTCGGCGAGATATTGGGGAATTTGCGTGCTTTTGCCCGAGCCCGTTTGGCCCTGCACGACCACGAAACGGCTCTGCGTCACGGCGCGCTCGATCGCGTCGCGCTTGGCGTACGCCGGCAAGCGCTGCTGGAAGCGGTACAGCTCGCGCTTGCGCCGGTACTTGTCGTCTTTCGTGGCCATCGAGAAGGTCGCTTGGATGTCTTTGAAGACGTGCAATTGACTCTCGAGCTCTGCAACGGCGGCGTCTCGAGTCGCATCCGGCGTCGCACGTGTGCGGTGCAAGAGACGTTGATGGTCGGCCACTGCCTTGGCTTCGCGTTGAAGAAATTTGTGTTCTTCAGTGGACGACGCCGACTTCGCCATGCCCCCAAGCGACCGAGCGGGAAGATGAACCGTCATCGGCGGCGGTGGTACCATCGCTCGTTGTTGCGTCTGCCTCGGTGCCGCAGGCTGCTGTTCCTGACGAGGCGCCTGCTGTGTGGCTCGGGGTGCAGATTTTTGGCGTTGCACTGTCGGCGTTGCCGTCCGTGGGGCCGATGCAGCGGCCTCGTGGACGGGGCCATGGACTGGGTAGACGGCGGGTATCGTATGGTAAAATGTACACGCGGCTCCCTTCGTGCATGGCTTGCCCAGCGCGACGCTAAGACAGCGGATTTTGGTATGGTTCTTGGGGCACGTTCGCTGCACGCAAGCATCGTCCGCGGCACATTTCTCGGCTTGTGGGTGGTTCCACGTGCACGTGTGGATGCGGGCGCAGGCACCCTTGTCCTTGCACTCGCCGTTGGCCATGTCTTGCAAATTGAACAATATATCGAGATGGGTTGCACCTCGGCCAAATCAAAAGCCGTTTCTATACAGTAATTTGCAAACCGTCAAAATGCTGGACGTGTCCTTCGTGAAGAGACCGCTAGCCTTGCATCGCATCTGCACAAATCGAAGGCGAACGACAGAGAAAATACAAGTGTGCGAAGGACCGCCCCGTTCTACGTGCTACTGGCGATGGAAGGTCTCTTGACAAAGTTTCGGGCGCGTATTCTCAAGGGTTGGTGGTGGGACTGTGGCACGAGCAAGAGCGACTGCGTCCTCTTTTAGAGCTACCAGCCCGTGGGGGAGAACCTGCTGTTTCAGCAGTTGCAGTGGAACCGGTTTCATCTACAAATTGTATCATGCTGCTGGTTGGTTAACGTTCCATGCATGCGTTTCACTATAGAAAATATATATATTTCCGACAAGCATTCGTTTCACTACAGAAGAAATATTTCCGGCGAGAACCATTGCTTGCATCGAGTATGTCATCATGCGTGATGACCTTGGTTTAACATATGGCCTTACACGGCGACGGGCGCCCCTACTATGAATATAATAGTACTGGTAGGACCTCCGAGTATAGAGACCGTCCTCGAGCGTTCATCCGTGCCAACTGACGTTTCCGATGCGGAGATCCAACTTGGAATGCGAGATGCATCCGAAAAGTTCGTTTCAACTCCTTGAAGGCGCAACTTGCACTCAGTGGAATCGGCGGTGGAGGGGGTGATGTGCAGAGTGACCATTCGGGTGGTGAAGTGAGGTTGGTTTCAAGACTAGAGGCCACAAGAAGCACAACTTCTTGACTTCGTGGACGTGGGCATGCCTCCAGCAGCTGCTTGTGCCCCATAAGAGTTGCTTGTGAACCCCATGGCTACCTGGGTCGGTAAAGACAAAGGTGGAGCTCCAATTCGAGAGGACGGCTCAACACGGAGATCTTCCGGCGTTGAGTCGGCTCACCCACCGCAGGTTTGACTCGACTGCATCGATGACCCACACCACTGCAGGAAATATCCAAACGAGCGTTCCAACGTGTCCAACGGCGTAAAAACTATTTATCGATCGATGGCGACCGGCTGCCCATTGTTTCATTTGCTGGGTGCCGAGCGAGCGATGAACGTGGACCTGCTCGTCAACTGCCGCGACGGAGACTTCATGGTCAACGAAGAGGCCAAGAAGGAGCTTCGGAAGCAGCTGCGTCAGTTCCGCGACAGGCTCGCGACCGACGCGACGCCCGACCTCGGCACGCACCGCAACTTGATGGAAGGTATTGTCTTCTTCGTCGTTAAGGACGCGGTGGGTGACAGCGTCGCGTCGTTTGACGACGCCCTCGGACGCATCAAGGGCCTCAAGGGGTACCTGATTGGGGCGAAAAATAAGCCCGGTGAAGGCTTCTTGCGCTCGGTTTCTTGGGGCATCGAGGGCTTCAAAGTCTTCAAGAACATGGAGACGCACTACCAAGCAGGCGACGACTTGGCCAACTACGTCCCCCTCGTCCTGTGCGCCAAACAAAACTGGTCGGCGCTCGCCCTCGTGCTCATGGAGTCGATCGTGTGCTGCCTCGAATGGCTCCACCGCACGCTTCGTGTGTCACTGCACAGCGGAGCCCGTCCGGCGCCAGCTACCTCGGCACGACAGCCAGTAGCAGCAGCTAAGCCCTTGACGACGACGGCGCCACTTCGTATACAGGGCCGCCACCCGCGACGACCACAGCAGGTCGCCAGCAGCTGGCAGGTCGCCCTCTTGCAGCGCCGCCGCAACCACCAGCCGTGACTGCGCCTCAACACGTGGCGGCATTAGGGCCACATCTGGCCGCCGCGGCTCAGATCACGGTCACAAGAGTCGCCGAGCTACAACAGACCGCCAACGACGTCATCCAAGAGCTGCGGAAGCGGAAGAGCCTCAACTTGCTGCCACGTTACTACCTCCGATGCAGCCGCGGCAACCAATGTGCGACACCAGGTTGCAACTATGCGCACTCGGCAGAGGACATGCACATCGTGGGCGTCGCCCGCGCCGTCGCTTTGGGCGACAGGTGGAAGGCAACGAGGTGCGTCCATCAGCCCAATTGCCGCTACGACACACGGTGCGACAACCAGCACGAAAGCGATGACCGAGACGCCATTTTGCGTCTGCAGAACGTCGCGAGGGAGATCGTACGTACCAGCTATGTGCGCCTCGGAGAGCTCTACGTCGAATTCCTCTCAGGCGAGACCGTTGCTGTGGCTTGTCGTGTGCGGGAGGGTTAACCTCGCGCCGGAACTCCGACTAATCCAACAAGCCTGCATTTGTATTTCTGTTGTACGAGTGGTGACAAGGACAGTTTACTCGATCTACGATCTCCACAACGCGACGCTTCCAAGTCCAACAAGAGGGGCTGCCTCCGAGTTGGAGTCGCATTGCTTTTGACCCCGGCGACCAAGGGAATAAATAAGCTTATCTATTCCCTTGCCGGCGACCAAGATAGGCAAGCCCCTCTTGGTACGCAGGATAGGACAATATGTATGCCATCCACCCGGTGGAACCTCAAGATGAATGAAGACAAGGCGGAAGAAACGCAGGTATTCAGGTCAGCGCAGGTTGACGCGCCGACGCACGCGGCCTCTTTGGCGTGGCACACGACCAAGAAGCTCGGCAGCCTCCTCGACGACGCGGCCGATCTGCGCGCTCGGAAGCGACTGGCGACAACGGCGTTCAACAACATGTGGAAGATCTGGATGCGTCGAGGCCTCATCTCGGAAGGCAACCGTGTGCGGCTGTACAAGTGCTACGTGCTCCGGTCCTTTGTACAACTGTGGCACCTGGCCCTGACGTCAACGAG